CTTATATTTACTTTTTCCTTATTTCTAAGTAATTTAAAGCCAGATTTAAATGGTTAAGACAAAGTTCCAATAATAACTACCACTTACTGAGCATTTTGCTAAGTACTGGACTCTACATAAGATACTTTGCACACGCTAGCTCATATTGAATGAGATATAAACTCTTCAGAGCAAATTTAATATACTCCTCACAGCAAGTTTACTGGATAAGCATTATTACCTTTAATTTACAAATGAAGAAACCGAGGCCCAGAGAGATAAATAACTTGTCTGAAGTCACATGGTTTGTAAACGGCAATGTAAGGATTCAGCTTCATCCTAGAGGTCTTTGCTCTTAGTAAGTGGGGAGATCAAGAGCAGAGAAGGATGCTGGAGGCAGATGGCACAGAGCTTTCAAAGATGCAGAAGTTTCCCAACAGATTTCAACAAATGTAGGTGCCCTCAAAGCAGAACTGTAACTTTTAACTATGTCATCATCGCTGAATGGTAGAGCTGGAAAGAACCCAGGAGGTCATAATCCAACCTGATTATTGACTGATGATGTGAGGCTTAGATCACTCATGGTGGCCACACAGTCAGAGGTAGACCAAGGTTTAAGAACACAGGTTTCCTAATAGTAGGGAGATTCCTCAAAAGACTAAAACAGACTTACCATATGACCCAACAATCCCACTTCTGGGCATATATCCGGAGGGAACCCTAATTCAAAAAGATATACACACCCCAATGTTCATAGCAGCACTATTTACAATAGCCAAGACGTGGAAGCAACCTAAAAGTCCATCGACAGATGACTGGATAAAGAAGTTGTGGTATATTTATACAATGGAATTCTACTCAGTCATAAAAAGAATAAAATAATGCCATTTGCAGCTACATGGAGGGACTGGGAGATCGTCATTCTAAGTGAAGTTAAGCCAGAAAGACAAAGAAAAATGCCATAAGATATTACTTACATGTGGAATTAAAAAAAAAAGACACAAATGAACTTACTTACAAAACAGAAACAGACTCAGACATAGAAAACAAACTTACAGTTACCAGGGGGTAAAGAGGGTGGGAAGGGATAAATTGGAAGTTCAAGATTTGCAGACACTAACTACTAATTATAAAACAGATAAACAAATTTCCACTGTATAGCACAGGGAACTATATTCAATATCTTGTAGTAACCTATAATGAAAAAGAATATAAAAAGGAATATATGTATGTATATATATCAGTGAAACATTATGCTGTACACCAGAAATTGACACAACATTGTAAACTGCCCATACTATAATAATAATAATACGAATACTACTACTACTAATAAAAACATGAGTTTCCTTACTTCCAAGCTTTTTTCACCCTACTGTGTCACAGAGTTTTGTGAAAGGACGAAGGAGTTTGCAGCTGCAAGGGAGAGTTATTGAATCTCCCAGATGTCAGTTTCCAGATTGTTCAGAAACTCAACTGACACCTCTGTTTCACT